TCCTATTTGAAATAAATCCCTCAGGCACAGAAATAAGTAATACTCTAGCTGTGGATTTTCAAATGCCCTTCTGCAAACAATTCCATCACATTATGTCCCTGTACATTATGTGGAACATGAACTGTGTGCATTCATAAGATTTCAAAGTAGCTTGTAGTTTAATGGCAACATAATTTCCCCCCAAATTTCCTCCAAAAGGAAAGACCCTATGGGAAAAAACAAACAAACAAAATATCCCCCTTTTATTATGAGTATTCTGACTTTCACATTTAGACCCTTGGTTAGCTTCAAGTTGGCCTAAAAAAAAAAAAAAAAGCATCCTTTCAATTCCTAAGAATGTCTTCTTCCTGAAATTCCCTGATCACCATAACCAAATAACCTTGCCTCAGGCAGCTGTTTCTCTAGTTATACCTCCCACAGCATTGCTTTAAAACAGCTATTCTACACTTCTGTGTATTAGGAATCACTTTGGAAATCTGATAAAAGTGATAAATTATGTTTTAATCCATATACATAAAAATGTACATAACATTTCAGGGGGCTCCTGTATTGCCTTCGATCTTGACAGTGATTCCATATTTTACTGTCTCCTGTGGCTTCCGTTCTTTTCTATCATGCTCTAAGCCTTTTTCTGTAGATGATAAAATTTGAAAGATGAATTAACTGAAAGAAAAAATTGAAGGAGTTGACAGAGGGACTGCCCCAAAGGGTCGTTTTAATCACACTTCCAGAGAATAGCTATCTTTAACCCTGTTATGTATGCTGGGAGAGTAAGGGCTGGGGTTCTTTTGATGGCTGCTGTCACCAAATGCAGGATGCCTTTTACACCAACCAACTCTTGATCACCAACCAAGCCCCAAGCTCTCAGGCTACTTTTGCAAAACCAAGGAAAGCCCTCTTCATCAAAAGCTACAATTTAATTTTGGAAGATAAGCAAATTATTTGAGAGTGTTTAAAATAAATTATCTTTGGGCTAGGCATTAGACTGCTAACTACAAGTTTAGTTTTTCCAGCACACTAGCAGCTTCATGGGAGAAAAGCAAGACTGTTCCTATAAAGATTTACAGTCTCAGAAACCCTATAGAGTGTCCCTGTAAGTCACAAGAGACTCAGTGGTAGTGGGTTTTTTGTTTTTTTGTTGTTTACTCGATATTGATTGATAATGATAATCTTCTAAAATTATCTTTCTAGGTTCCTATCCCAGATTATCTCTCAGCTTTAAGCTTAAGAGAAACATTGGTTACTTTATCCTGCAAACATATATGCCTTCCATACTGATCACCATCCTCTCTTGGGTCTCCTTCTGGATCAACTATGATGCTTCAGCTGCAAGAGTGGCATTAGGTAGGCCATTTTTCAAATTTTTCTAGTGGGTGAACACAAATGTATATGTGTATTTCTTGCCAGGATTTATGATGTAAGAAGAGACCTGGATCACACAGTATAAGACTTTGGTTCTGCGGGTTTGGGTGATCTGATTCAGCATTAAATCAATTAAGCACAAATTAAAATTCTCTCATGTTAAAATTAGTTAACTGTATAGCTGTTAGTAATGAAATTTGTCTCATCAATTTAATTTTTTCATCGAAGCATAGTTCATGTAATCTTCCTTGCATAATTGATCAATTTGTATCTGTGAATTATTACCTGAGAAGACCTTCTGCCATCTTTTAAAATATTTTACCCTTAGCAAGCAACAAGACTTGTAGTGACAAGCTAATGGGTAATGAGAACTTATTAGCATCTTAAAGTACCATGACAGAGGGCAAAAAACACGGTCAGCATGTTGAAGAAGTGTCCATGCAACTGCTTTTCATGTGCTTGATTGTGTGTTATGAAACTAGAGGCATTAATTTTGTATCTTTAAAAGTTTTGTGTTATTAGTTCTAGAAGTAGTGACTGTATAACCTTTTACAAGATCTTTATTGTTTTATTTCTGATTATTTCCTTTTAAAATGTTATATTCTTAACCATTAAATCATGAGATCTCAATTCCATTACTGTTTTCTTGGAAGGGTCATTCACTTAGTCATTCATAAATAAATGTTAAATATTGAGAACATGTCAGATATACTTAATACTTGTCAAAGAGCAGTGTCTCTCAGGAACTTAGGCAAATCAAATAATATAGTAAGGCTATAAAAGGAAAAGAAGCCAAGTCAGAAGGACTGAGTTTGCCCAGCAGTCCATTGTAGCTACCCAGAGGTGCGTGCATCAGAGGTCGTCAGTGGACCACAGACCTAAAGAAGCTGAGGGAGCAGCTCGTGGGAGGATGCTTCAGGCGGCCGCAAAGTCTGCAGTGAGAGTGCCGCAAGCATGTCCGAAGTGAGGACGAAGTTCAGTAAATGCTGATGGAAGTGGTAAAGATAATGATGGGGAGTGGTAACTAAAACATCATGAAGTTGTTTGTAGACTCTGCAGTTCCACTTCCATTGGGAACAAAATAGAGAGCCGCTGAACAGAAAAATGGCATGATTTAATGAGTTTAATTCTGCGTGCTGTGTTGAAATTATATTGTGGTGTTTCAAGGGTGGAATGGAAAAGAAATGCTCTCCTATTCTGAGTCAAGTGCCCTGTGACATGTACTCTTGGAGTATGTTCATAATTCCCCTCTGTCTAGAGTTATAATTGACATTGCTGTGATTCTGTGAATAGTGGCCTCCCTCAGACTACTGAAGGTCCGTCAAGGAAGGGTCCGTACTAGTCCTGTGTCTGTTGTGCCCTAGTGCCTCACACGGAGAATGTAGCTCAGCAAATAGGCGTGAAAAGGAAATAAATGAAATTTACTATCTAGTTTTCAAAAATTGAAATCTGTTATCTATTTTATGTCTATGATAGAAATAAAAAACAATGTATTGATTTTTAAAGCATGTTTTAAAAATATTTTTTAGGTGAGCAATTTGATGGGAACCATTTGGTAGATTCAGGTGGTGTAGGGGGTTATATATTGGGCTGCTAATCTATAGGTCAGAAGTTGGAAACTGCTCTGTGGGAGAAAGATGAGGCTTTCCTCCACCCATCAAGAGGTATGTTCTCAGAAACCCACAGGGGCATTTCTACCCTGTCTCAGAGGGTTACTATGAGTCAGAATTGACTTGATGCAGTGACTAAGAATTACTAGGGGCAGAAGTACTTTAAGATGGGATTTAGATAAATAGTGAAACCATCATGCTCACTTCCGTAATATTGGACAAACTGTAGTTGAACTTATGAATATAAAACTGAATGTATTACAAAGTGATTAGTTTAGTTTGGAAGATAAAAGACTATAAGATGTCTAGATCTAAACCAAGGCCTAGACTTTTCTGACTGCTTGGACTTAAGTGTATTTCTACTATAGCTGTCTCATGAGCATGTATCAAAACCAAAAATTATGGTTTTGTTCAAGTGGTAAGATTGCATTGGACATTTAGGTCCCAAGTTACCAAAGAAATAAACAGCTTCTGAACTGTGGTGCTGAGTAGTGTTGAGGACACGGGGTTGTCAGTCAGAATGATTTCAGTACAAAGGTGACTCAGCATCTGTGTGATCTTGGTGGCTAAATTTAGTCTGTTTTCACATCACTAGTTTGATTCAGAGATGGACCTCATCATGCTTAAGACCCTTGACTCCCAGTGTGTTAGACAAACATATTTCCACCTGCCTTTCTGATTATACCTTTGAGATAAACTGCTCCCCGCTCCTGGGGATGACGTGGTATGTCAAAAATGTGTATTATCTAACTTTGGTATTATCTATTTCAGCACTGAATTCCTAGTTGCTAAGTCCTGCAAAACACATGAAGGCTTATCTGCTGCCTTCCACCTCAGTTCCAAATGTTTATAATCATTCTTCCATTCATCTGTATTGTTGTTATACTAATTGCTTCCCCTTTCCTCACTTACTCGTATTATTCTGAAAACCAATTGATTGTGTGTGTGTGTGTGTGTGTGTGTGTTTTCCCACTCCCTCATTGTTGCATGCATCTTCTGTACCTGCTCTACTATCAGAGTAATTGTCTAAAGGGTGAGCACTGATCTCAGTGATTCCGCCTGGCCTTCAAGTTTAAGTTCCAACTTCCTCGTTAGTTTCACATTATGCACTCTTTACTTAGGTCTTCACTTCCCTCTCCCTTCTTCCTTTGTGTCCCATGAGGTACTCAATCTGACTTTCTTAAGACATATGATGGACTTATGTCAGCCTTTTTATAAAAATTTCTCTCCACCAATGGCCCCAGCTCTACCAACTTTTATCCTCCAGATAACACGTATTCACTCTGCAGGACTCAGTTCAGAATTCTCCATTCCCTCCTTGCCACTGCCACTGAGGCAGCGCTGACTCACAGCACTCCACCGGGTGCTTTGGAGACTGTGATGCTTGTGGAGGTAGAAAGCCCGTCTTCTCCTGTGGAGCTGCTGGTGGTTTCCAACTGCCTGCTCTACGGATCGTAGCCTAACACCTAACCACGACACCTTCAGGGATCCTTCGTTCTCTCATTGTATACCCCATATTACCACAAGAATGAATTCTTCTCTACACACATGTACAGAATAACTATTAATTCATATGTTTAAAACCCCAGTGGATATAACATTATAATAAAAGAAAGTGTCCCCAACTGGCTAAGGTTGACAGTAAATTAATTATGCATGCATATCTCTAAGCATATCACAGTATTCAATAGGCACAAATATTTTGTGATATATGAAGAAGTTAATTAGAATAATTTACTATTCTAGTCATGATGAAAGTATCAAACATTATTACATTAATTCTTATTTTTTTCAGGAATCACAACTGTTCTGACAATGACCACAATCAACACCCATCTCCGTGAAACACTTCCTAAAATCCCCTATGTGAAGGCCATTGACATGTACCTGATGGGGTGCTTTGTCTTCGTTTTCATGGCCCTCTTGGAATACGCCCTGGTGAACTACATTTTCTTTGGAAGGGGACCTCAACGCCAAAAGAAAGCAGCTGAGAAGGCTGCTAGTGCCAACAATGAGAAGATGCGCCTGGATGTAAACAAGGTACATTCAGAGGGCAAACCCTTTTTGCTTCTTATCTTATAGAAGAATGCTAGCAAAATAGGGTCATGATCTATTTAACAAATGAGGAAACTAAGACCTAGAGGTGAAAATGAGTAGTCTTCCCCAAACCATTCAGATAATTAGTAATACAAGCAGGGTTGGTACTCAAGTTCTTTTCTCAATCTTGAGATAACCTTTCCAATAGCCATTGTATTGCCTCCGACTCATAGCAACCCTACAGAAAACAGAAACACTATCTAGTCCTACACTATCCTTAGGATGTTTGAACTATTTGAGTCTATAGTTGTAGGTACTCTATCAATCTATCACATTGAGGAGCTTCTTTCTTATTGACTTTACTTTATTGGAACTCACTCCTCTGCTCCTTCTTGACAACATGTGCAATGTATGCAAGACAAAGTCTCACCATCCTTGCCTCCAAGAAGTCATTCTGGCTGTGTTTCTTCAAACAGATTTAGTCTTTCTTATTATTATTTCCTTCGCCAGTAACAGTAGGGTTATCTGAACCTTAGTCACCTAAACTTTAGTCACCTAAAAACCACCTTTATAATTTTCTATATATGAGTATAATGCGCACTATATTGATTTTATATGTTTTGCATTGAATTACTTTTAAATGTAATGAAAATAGTAGATTCTCTTGTCACTCAAACCAGTCTTCCAAAAACAAACAAACAAAAAAAACCCTCACTGCCATTGAGTTATTTCAGACTCATCGTGACCCCATGGGGAAGGTAGAACTGCTCCTGTGGGTCTTAATGACTAAAATGCTGGACCATTATTATAAAGAGTGGGAAATAAAAATAAAATGATGCTGCTAGATTCTAGGTTGCACTGCTGCGCAGTGAAATATCTTGACCCCAGTGCTGGGATTGGTTGGATAAAATGAGAGATCAGCAATCAGTGGAGAAACAGACTTGCGTCTCAGAGTAATGAAAAGAGAGAGGAAAGTGAAATTGAAAACGGAGTAATTTTCTCTCGTAAAGAACACCTTATGACTTAGTACCCACTACCTATACCACATAAAATCAATGACGCACTTGGCAGTACCAGATCACTAAAGAGCCTAAGCCAGTAATAGGCAAAGACAAAGTCTGCATAATGTGAATGCTACTGAGTCTTTAAGGCACCAGTTCTTAACCTGTAGTGTCAATTGAACTAATCTAGAGATCATTAAAAACTAATAAAACATTAATCCCATGCCCAAAATTCTGATTAAATTGTCCTGAACGTTGCCTAGGCATCATAACTTTTTAAAGTCCACTTGTTTTTTTTTTAAATATTGAGAATCTAGACAAAACATACATCAGTTTAGCAATGCCAAAAAACAACTCAGTGATGTTTACCTCATTCAAGTGGTGTCACCATACCACTGCTTTTCCTGAATGCTCCTATCTAGTCTTTTGATCTGCTGTTTTCTATTTGATCCAAGATAGTGTAGTGATTCTTGCAAAGAGTATCATGCTTAGGCAGATACTCTTTACTAATGCTTCAAAGAAAACTTCAGGGAATAATTTTAATTTATACTTTAAGTTTAAATATTATCTCAGGGCAGTAATTCCAGGTGTTCTTCAACCTTCAATGACTCCAGAAAGTCTAATTTTCCTGAGAATTTGAAATTCTGTTCCATGTTTCCCCCCAGATTATTAATCTGCAGCCAAAGTTCAGAATCACTGCTTTTGAAGCTTTTGACCACAGTTTCAATGACCTATCTTGACTTATAAGAGAGGGCCAGTCAGTTCTAGAACTTTCTATTTATATATATTTACATACGTATTTTCCATGGAAATCAAATTTGGGTGTACTTCCGCTCACTACCACAGAGTCAATGCTGACTCACAGCAACCTCATGGGACAAGGGAGCTGTGCGGGCTCCTTCGGGTGTCCATGATGAACCCTCTTCAGGAGTAGAAAGTCTCCTCCTCCTCCTGCAAACTTAGGAATCCCCTTCAAAAACAAACAAAGCAAACAACGTTTTATTTTAACATGTGTCCGATTAAATAATGTTTGTAATATAGTATTTAGTTTGATAAGTACTTCTTAGTGATGGGATTAAGAAAAGAGTAGACTTTAAAACATTTGGAATTATTAACCATAAAATGAATTGGCTATTTCTTTGACATTTTAATATTTCTAAATTCAGTGTAATTCCGAGAATAGTACACCATATCTTCTATTAATAATTTTTTATTGGAGAAGGCTCTATGTCCACTTTCAGATTGTCCATATTTTCCATATGCCCATAGTTCTGGTATTGCATTTTGAACTATTTACTCTTGAAGTAATCAAAAAACTATTTACTCTCTTAATAATTGAGATCTCTGGGTGTCAAAAATTACTAACGCTTACCTCCTAATGTCAAAGTTGAAAGTTTGAAGCCACCCATTAGTACCACAGAAGAAAGGCATTAGCAATCTACCGTCCTAACAATTACAGCTACTGGTGCTCTATGGAGCAATTTTATGTACTATTTAATACATGAGGTTACCAAGAGTTAAAATAAATCAATTGGCAACAGAAAAATGTGTGTGTGTTATTAGATATGCTGGGCTATAATGAAAGGCTCTTTTTTTCTCAGAAGATAATATTTATAAGGACTTGAATTTTGTGGATGGCTTTTGAAAGCTAATACTAGGAGACCTTGGATATTGTCAATCTCTATTTCCAAGGTTTCAATTACTGGAATCTGTCACTAGATTCCAACATAGCATCATTGCTCTCTCAGAGTATCCATTGAAAGAGTGCTTTTTAATTTCATGTTATGATTTTCTTCATATAATAGGTTTAATCAAGAAGAAAGAACAAAGAATGAACAGTTTGAAATAAGCCTTGAATCAACTGTCTAGTGCAAATCTTAGAAGATAACATCCGATTTCTTTACACTTCCTTCTACCTCATTTTCATATAAATGATCGATGCAAGACTAACAGTACACGTTGACTAGAAAACGGAACCTGGAAAGCTTCAGATACGCACCTCAGTGGGTGGAGGGAAAGCAGAGATAGGTTCATTGGGTGGTGCTCTCAGCTGAAGTTGGACCCACAGATCACATCATATAATGTGAATTATAGAAGAAGATAGCTAGAACTCTCCTAGTTCACGAGTTCCTTGCAACGGTGATCCCAATGGACCATTAGCAAGGCCTTGAGACATGTTCCTTGTCAAAACTAAGGAGGAGTGGCTACTGCCATCTAATAGGCAGAGGTCAGGAAGCATGCTAAAATTTCTATATGCTTCACAAATAACTATCCCTTAACAAAGAATTATCTAGAATTATCTAACCCAAGCTGCCAATCATACTGATATTGAGGAACTGTGTGCTAGTCCTGGTTGCTTATATGGGAAACTGAGGCGCTAAAAAATAAGTATTCTTGTCTTATCAATGAAATATTTTAGCAAAAGTAGTTTAGTTGGTCTTTTTATTAGAATGTATAACAATTGATATATTAGGAACTTTCATTTAACACAGTGGTTCTGAGAAAATATGTTTTAAATAATTAGGCTTGAGTTATACCCGCTGACTTAAAAACTGTGTGACAGAGAAGGGATCTAGCCATTCTGGCCTTCAATTTCCTAATCTGTAAAATTCCCTTAATACCTCTGCCGTTAATGAGGTTGTTATGAGGAATATTTGTGATATTGTACAAGGGGGGAACACTCGCAGTAAGCACTTAATAAGAAGTAAAAATGGATACAAACACTATACAATATGATTATTTAACATTTTTACAATGTCCAGGACTATTTGTAATGCTTGCTTGTATGTTTACGTGCTGCAGCAGGTAGGATGCAATCCTGGCCCTAGAAAAGACTGCTTTCTAGGAGTACACATTCCATATCAGAAGTTTTAAAGTCAAAGCAAGATATCATGTTTTAGAAAATATTAACTGTCAAGTCACAGCAAACAAGCTATTTAAAACCTTATCAGTGATTTCTTATACTAGAATATCCACTACCATCTTGGTTATATTAACACAAAATAATGATAAACACCACTTACATTCCCTTTTTCCATATTTTCTTATTTAACCCAGGATGAAATCCCCAAGGAAATTCACTTTGTTTTCTGATTATACAATGTTTGTGTTGTTTTTCCCCTGGCATCATGAATAATGCCTATTTCTGATCAATATTATCCCTTCTTTTTAAGTGTAGTCTTAAAGTCTTTTTTTTAAGATTGGATTATTGTTGTGTGCTCTGGAAATATCAGTCTCTAGGAGAGGGAATGAATTTCACCTCCCTTTGGCAATTGACTAGAAATGGAAGCAGTATAGGAGATGGCTTAAAGTGCTCTTTAACTTGTGCTCTGCCCTGCAGTCAGCAAGGGATGAAAATGGGAAGCTGATCAAAGTGTTGCTTTAACAGCATACTTCCACATTTTATTTTTCTGTTTTCTGTACTAGTTTCTCATACATTTTTATTTTAACCAAGGAATAAGGTATAGCTCTTTATCACTTCTTGCACCATCATTTACCTCATGGCTAAACTAAGGCTCTTGAAAATAAGAACTCTCCAAGACTGTAGGTGTCTTGGTGGCATGATATCCTCAAGGTTAGCAGTTGTGTTTGGGAGAAAAATGGAGCTATCTACTCCGTGAAAGAGTAAGAGTCTAACAGGGACAGTTCTACCCTGTCATATAGGGTTGCTATGAGTGGCCATCGACTGAATTGTAGTGAGTGAGGTTCAGTACTGTACTGCAAAGTTAACAAGAATTCTGAGACCTGATTTGGATTTCCCTGTCTGTATCCAGTAAATTAAGTAAAGATAAAAAATAAATAAATAAAACTTGATTCCTCATTATTCCATCCACCTATGGCCTTTGAGTTGATTCTAACTTGCAGTGACTTTACAGAGCGGTGGACCCAAAGTGATTCCAAGGCTATAGATTTTTATGGAAGCACTGTTACTTCCTTCTCCAATGGAGAGGCTGATTAGTCCAGGTTATTAAACACTACACAGCCAGGTATCCAAATAGCCACTGAAACCCACCCATGCCCACTATCCTGGAGCTGATGCCAACTTACAGTATCAATTTATAGGATAGAGTAGAAAGGGTTTTCAAGGCTATAAATCTCGAAGGAAGCAGACTGCTTCATTTTAGCCAATATGCCACCAGAGCTCCTTGTTTATACATCAGTTTATATATATTCACTGCAGTTTACCTCAACTGAAAATAAAACAAAACAAAATATCTGCTTGCCCACAAATCATGGGTTAAAAACAAGTGTCATTTCCTCAGTTGTTAACAAAGTGTCATATGCCAACTTTTAAAATATGAATTTCAAGTCACCTGGAGACCTTCCGCATATTTTTCCCATGAGTCATTTGGACTAGTTTTAAAATGTGTAACTTTTCATTTTAGGTTCAGGAGAGTCCTTCCTATTACATCTTGCATTCTTCTATTTGTATGTGTGTGTATGTGCGCATGTGCGCCTCACCGTTTGCTTTTGATGGATTTCACCCTTTGTCTTTGCTCAGGCCTTTAAGTTTGCAGTATTCTCTTTTAAGAATTATATTGCTTCCTTCTTTATTTTTTTTCTTTTTACTCCTACATATATGCATATTTGAGGGTTCGGTTATTACTAATTTTTAGCATCTTGATTCCCATGTGTCTTAAAATGATCTTAAATGCCTCAAATATTCTCATTGTATGGGGAGACCCACAACCAGTAGTTTGAAGTTAAGTTGCACCAAAGGCATTTCCACTTAAGGGTATACTTTATTCTGCATTCATAATGTTGTCAGTCTCAATGTTGTCCTTATCCGGTATGCCTAATCTTTTGTAATGCAAAGCCACTAAAATTGGTTCAATCTACTGAATTCTATTGCTTGTAATTAGATTTTTTTAAGTAAATAATACTTAGAAAGAAAACTAAGAATTCATACTCTGTTAGCATTGGTCTTTTTCTTATGCTTTCTAAAGACCAGTTGCATTTATCTATATCCAATTTACTTTAGCCTACAGTCCTAATCTAGTGGCATCAATCGACTTAATTAGCACATTCTCTACTTTGTCTTCCAGATTTTTTATAAAGATATTAAACAAAATGGGACCCAATATCGATCCTTGTGGGACCCTACTGGAAACCTCTCCCCAACTAGACGGACTACCAATTACGATTTCTCTCTATATACGGTTAGATAGCCAGTTTTTAATCCATTTATTTGTATTTCTGTTGGAGCCAATTTGTTTAGCTTTCCATTGGGATCTTTGTATGGGTTCTGTGTAGATGACTTGGGCACATATGCCCACAGAAACTTAAAGTAAATTAAATGTCTCCATGAAGCCCTAGAGGGGTTGGCCCGTTTGTTTTTTAAATGGTGAACCTAAGTGCCATCATGTTCCATTCAGGTGTTGTTGTCTTGCTACAGAAAAAGGCAAATGGCTCCTATTCTGATATTTGTTTTGTTTGTTATGAGAGGACGTAACCTCATGGGGATTTTTTTGGCTGTGGTTGTCGTGTTTCTTTTGGTTGACTCTATTGGTGAAGGAATTGAATATTTCTTGGTTGGTTTGTCGAATAATTCAGGAATCTATGTTTTCTGCCCTAAGTTATTAAATTCTGTCTAAAGATCTCATACTTGCATCAAGTCCTTGCTCTATTTTCATCTTTTTTCCTGAATAAGTGTTATTTTGGCAGCCTTAGCACAATTAAAATAGCAGATAAGAGGCAATACTTGAGATTGCACCTTGTCAAAACGTCCAACTCAGAAGAACTCTAAAGAAAATTTATTTTGGCTAATACATAATTTCAGAATCCCCATGTGTTTATAATCCTTAAGAGTCAAATTATCACTTACCTTACCCTCCAAATTGGTTGATACTGATTATGATAATAATTTCCCCATTCAGTTTATCACCCATTACTTTTCAAATACTAGTTTTTAATTTCTATTGTGTGAGGCAGTGAATGATATTAAATACTTGTAAATATTTTTCATGAGGACTTGATGCTAAGTGAACTTTTGGTATTGTATCTTCTAAGTATTATAGTGTTCCTTAATTTCATTGGTCTGACTCCAAATTCCTTGACATCTCATTGTTATGATTGGCATGTGTGGTTGGTGTCGTTAACCTATGAATTGCTACTGTTTTGCTATTAAAGTTACCTTTTAATTTCAACATTTATAGTGCTATACATAGTAACAATGTTATATAAATTGTTATTCCTAAAAACATTCCAAAGGAGAGGTGATTGAAACAGTGTTAATCACTGTTTTAGCTGAAATTCCCTAATCACTCCATAAGTCTATCTATGTTCATAGGCTATGTAATGTATATTGTTGATTTTCTTGTTTTTATCCTATCTACTCTTATTGATGTTGATGTACACTGGTTTGGTTGAATAGCATTCTGGGTAGAATATTAATCATTTACAAGAAATCATGTTTGCCTGGAGTTTGGGTATATGATGAAAATGATTAAAGAACACTTAGTTTTTCAAGATGAAAATCAAAGCACACACCTTGACTGTCTATTAGCTAGATAAATTAACATGACAACTCAGAAATAGCATTTGATAATGAGGAAGTTTGAAAGAAATCTCCATTCTTGGTGCTTTACATTGTTCCATGGGTGGTTTGAAAGAGTTCATGATACTCTCTGATCCCATAATGTTGATCCTAATTTGTCAAGAACCCTTCCTCTGACTCATAAGCAATTTTAAAAAAGTTATTGTTCAATGATTTACTCTGAAATGTGAACCTTTATGTCTTTTATTTCACACTTTTCCCTACTGGGTTTTCCTTTGTTCTGTCCTTTGACTATCTCTAATATTTTAAGACGCATTTTGAGTGCATGAAATTGACACTAGTATTCACAAGATCAAATGATGAGGATTCTATGACATCTGTAACCTGTGATAACATTGAAATCATTGTGACAATCTGTAGTGTCAGTTAAGTGCACTGGCAAGATGCTGGCTTTTTAAAGACAGAAATTGGGTTCACATTCAGGCTTCGTCTATGATATAATCTGTGTGACATTAGACATGGTTGACCTTTCTACTCTTGAAGTTCCTCAACTGA